CACATTGACGAACGAATTTGGCTGAGTTTTGATTTGGGTTTCTTTGAGAAGTTTAAAGTTTTATCCTTTGGATACATTTAGCTAACTTCATGTCTCATTTTCCACTTTTTTTTTGTTTGAACTGTAGAACCGATTGCTGCAGCTGAGGAGGGACATAGCCGTGGATCTTCCAAAGAGGTAAACTTTAATACTTCTCACTGGACTCTATACTCTGGAACCACTTGGTTGCTTTGAATTTTTGTTGTGTGGTCGGTCATTTTTCTTCTATGACGTTGCAGATAACCCAAATTGGATCAGGGAAGCAGAGTTTTTCCCCACCTAGTGCAGACAAACGTGACCATTCTCGTTACGATGGTCGTAGAAATAGGTCCAGAGGGAGAGCTACTGGAGCTGCTGCTGGTTCTTCTTCACAATTGCAGCGCGATACTACCGGACCTTTTAATTCTCATAGAGGAGCGTCACATCATAATCCAACTGGTAGAAGAGCTAATATGATAAGCGGGAACCATTTACTGAATTTTCAGTATGATCCGATATCGCCACCACAATCTAGGGGATTTCCCCCACCTCAGAGAAGGCAAATGTTCAAGAGGAGGCCTTACAACAAGGATTTGTTTCTTCAGGCCAATTATAAGTTTGTTATGTTGGACACTGGAGATCATTCTCCTGATTCTATGGATCCTGATAAAATGCTGCAGTGGGAGAATATAATTTGTGTAAGGTATTCGACTCCGTCTCCTGTGCAGTGCCCAATTTGCTTGGAGTGTCCTCTATGTCCGCAGATAACTTCCTGCGGGCATATATTCTGTTTCCCGTGTGTTCTACAGTACCTGTTGATAGGTGTGGATAACCACAAGGCAGAGTGTTTCAAGAGGTGTCCTTTGTGTTTTGTGATGGTTTCTCCAAAAGATTTATACACGGTTTATATCGAAAACGTCAAGCAGTACTCTGTTGGAGATCCCATTGAGTTTACACTTTTGACACGCAAGAAAGGCTCTTTTGCTCCAACTCGGAAAAATGAGTTCGACCCGGCTTTTCCCAATGGTGAAAATGAAATACATGATCCGTTCTCAAAGTTCACTTTCACTCAAGATGTTGATCTCTCGGTCAGACAAGCAGTTTCAGAGTTAGACAGTTGGATTGCAAGGGCAGATCCTGGGCTTGTCGAAGACTTGGAGAAGCACCTATATGTAAATGCTGCTTTGGAGCGTTTGGAGCAGAGAAAAGTGTACTGGAATGAGCACAGGCTCTCTAATTACAGCAAATCAAGCACATTGGCTAGAAATCAGATACCGTCATTCTCACCTCCTGATGTTTCTCGAGTTGGTTATCAAGCCTCTAGCTCGGAGAATGGAGCAACAACTAGCAGCTCCAACGACCAAGATAAATCAATTGAGGATTCTGCAGTGGATAAGTCAGATGAGGAATCTCATTCTAGTCTGGAAAAGAGTTGTGATAATGGTCACCCTCTAGAAGACCAGGAAGCACCGTCATCTTCCTCACACAATGGAAGTAAAGGGCCCCTGTTGCACCAAAATGACACCAAAGACCTGAAGGACAACGATGCGTACAACTTTTATCAGGTAACCAGTTTTTGGATACTTTTGTGTTTGCATAAAGTACTAAAATGACAGCCGCCTGATGCTTTTATTGCTCAGTGAATATATCTGTGTGGTTTTGTTGACAAAGAAAAATCCTCTTGGTGGTTTTATTATTAACACATTCAGTTTTTCTTACCTATGTGCTTTAATCGTATGCCTATACAGTCCGTTGATGGGCAGCACATTATCCTTCACACTTTGAATGTGAAATGCCTTCTGCATCACTATGGCAGCTATGACTTGCTTCCACCAAGGTAGGAGTCAGAGTCTTTTATGCATCAAAATTCTCTTATGTCAAAAGAATAGGGGATAAGTTTTAATGAAAGCCTCTTCATTGCCTAATCATTTCTGCATGGATTTGGAATGCTGATTCAAAGTGATAATGTATGGCACACCTTTAGTTAATGAAACCAAGAACCGGTGATACAAAATTTGAACAGTTGTTTAGCATGATAATCAAGACTCAGAATGAATTCAAGTATAATTGTTCATTATAAAAAGTTATCATCTGTAGTTTGGTGGTTTTAATAGAGTTCTGATTTCATTCCATGAAACTGCAGAGTGAGTGGTAAGATACTGGAAATGGAGACCGTGACCCAGTCAGAAGCGATAAGGAGACGCTACCGCTTCTTGAGTCATTTTTCTTTAACAACTACATTTCAGGTACATTTATTCCCGTAGTTGCCTTGGGTTTCTCCCATCTTATATGCACATGTCAATTCCCTTAGTTATACCGAAAATTTTCCCCATGGGGTTTATCCTCTTTTTGATAATGTTTTCAGATATGTGAGATTGATATGAGGGAATCATTGCCTCCCGTAGCTTTTACTCCATTTATGGATGAAATCAAGAAGCGTGAGAAGCAGAGGAAAGAACGTGCTAGGAAGGTATTCCTCTTATAAACATGATCACAATTCGCAACACATGGTCTCTTTTCCCTAATCTTTTTCAGATTCCAACCTCATTCGGGTCTTTCTTGTTTCCTTTTGTTAGTATTTAACTTGATTAGAGATAGCAGATGATCCTACTTTATTTCTTATTATTTTCCCTTAATTCCATTGTAAAAGGAGAACTGAAGGCTACAAAACTCATATGATGTTATGATTTTTCTTAGGATCGAAAAGATAAAATCAAAGCTGAAGTAGCTGCAGCTGCGGAGCTTGCACCATTGATGGCCAGTTTTGGACAGTCCTCTTATGACGACTTTCCTTCATTTTCCTTGGATGAGTTTGAAGGTGAAAAAAATGAATCACTCATCTCTTAATTGAATTTGAGGGTTAGTTATCTAATCATTAAGCTCTTGTTTGTGTCCCTCTTTAGCCCTTGGAAACTCTGCCCCAATATCATCAAGCCCTCCAAACATTGGAGAGAGAAGTTCCTTCTCACACGTGACAAGGCTCGGTTTTGCAGCTGGTCATGACTCGCCCAACTTGAATAACGAGGCACCAAATGTTCAAAGCAGCAGCAGTGAAGTCACAAACGCAACCACAGGTAACCCCGCTGGTTTAGCTCTGCAAATTCTTTTAGGATTCTCTAGTGACCTCTAAAATATGTTTTTCAGGTGTAAGAAACACAAACATAACATCATTCGCTAGTGTAACGTCAAGAACACCAAGCGCGCCAAGCACACCAACCACCGTCAAAGAGCCTGGAAAGAGAGGGAAGAAACCGAGCCGAGTGCTTCTATCGACAACCAGCGTACGCCGCTACTGAAAGTGGTATGGATTTGTATGTATAATAATAAGCTTTCCTGTTAAGAAAAGCTGAATAAAGAACGAACCATAGAGCAAGTAAAAACTCAAACTTTGGCTTTGTTTCTTTTTGTAACCCATGTGACTGATAATGAAAGTGTATTATTATTACACTATTTAGGACAAAATTATGAGACTTGAAAACACACAGAAAATTCCAATAAGATTGAATAAAATATCTTCTTCCAATAGAGGAGGATAACTCTCCGGTGATTTTCAATCTCACAAGTTACAACAATCATAGCCTTATCCTTTTAAAAAAATCTCTCCTTTTCTGTTCAATCTTTATCTTTTTGTCAAATAATTACAGTTATCAAGTTTGGACCAGTTCTTGTAGTCCGTTGGATTATGAATAAGGTCAATATCTGATTGAAAGAGCAAAAAAAAGTGGACCTGCTGCTATAAATAATGGGAGACCTTTTTCCAAAACAGAACCAAAGATCCAAATCACTAAATCAATTTTCTTTCCCATTACAAGAAACAAGAAAATATGCAGGGAGCTTTGTGCATCAAACCAACCATTCTTCATCCACTTCCTTCACCAATTTCTTCTCCAAAGTTCACTCTTCTTCTTCCTCATACCATAACTCCCAACAAAGCTTCAAGACTCTCATCTTTCAGACCAAACTCATCATCTCCTTCAACCTCTGATCCTCTCACTGTCGACTACAGCTCTCTCCTTTCGTAAGTACTCCTTCACTTCCCTTCTTCTTTCTTTCATCTTCTCTCTTATAAACTGACTCAATAAAGTCTCTATACTTTTAAGTGTTTTCCCAGCTGAAGCATGTGAAACAATCAGTGGATACGCTTGTTCTGCTGACATTTACCCTGAAGTCAAGCTCGACAAAAAGCCCGTCTCACGTCCCCCCGTGGCTTCAGAGCCGGTAGACCGAGAATACATCGAGTATAGCAACCCCAAAACGTAAAGATCATACATTTGAAACCCTTTCCTTTCTTTACTTCAGATTCTCAGCTTGCTTTTCGATATCTGATTGTGTGTTTTGGACTTGGAAACAGAGTTTTCCGCGAAGAGGCTTGCGATGATCTTGGAGGAGAATTCTGCGAACCTGACTATCAAAAAGATGAATAAAGGAAGAAAGCAAGATTTTATGTGATGTGAATATGTGTTTGTATCTCTCTACAAGTCTCTATATAATAACAAGTCCTTAATATATGAAAGCTAGCTTCACTTAATCAAGATTGAAGTTATGAATCATACCCAAGTCCCAAAAGCTAATAATTTGAATACATGATAAACATCAAACGGATGAGAACTTTTGCAGACTAAAAGGCTAGATGAAAGCTTTCCTCCAAAGTATATTTACATACAAAAACCTCTAAAAGCACTGCTTTGATTTGCTTAGGATCTTCGCGCTCTTCGGTTATGGAGAGTGTCTATGTCGGTGATTAAGGATGTTAGAGATGGATTGGGCTGTAGAAACATTGATGTTAAGAGATTTGCATCGTATCTGGCTGGATTTTTTAAGTAATATTTTGTCACGTTTCGTAATCCTTTTCAAGGAGTTTATTGCATTTGTCACTCATTGATTTCCAACATTGAAGGAAATGAAAGTAGCCAACTTGCTTATGTTATTGTCCGAAAAATCTAACCATGTTTAGTCATGTTAGAAGGTTTGAATTTGTTTAGGACTAATGACAAGCTTACAAAAACAAAAAAAAGTATATACATTGTAGGATCCAAAATTGAACTTTATAGCTATTAACATTGAACTAGAGTCTTTGTATTTCGAATATTTAACAAACGGTTGACTAAATCTAGACTTTATTTTGAGTTCATAGCTAATTACCAGGATTTGATCAAAGGGAGTTGATATACGGCTACTTACGGCTTATGTTTATATTTTAAAGTCATTTTGGAGTTGATATCATATCTAGGCATTTTCATGTAACATTTGTTCCATGATCGCCGAGTAATTTTTTTTTTTATATAAACCATTGTAGAAGGAAAATAATCAATGAGAAAGAGAAACGAGCTCGACAATGGTGGATTCAAAGAGAATTTGAGCTTGATAGCTCTCATGCAATGTAGTAGAAAGATTATAACCGATGAGAAAAAAATTCGAGCTCAACAATAGTGGATTGAAAGAGAAATTGAGTTTGATAGCTCTGATACATAAAAGTTTGTTATGAAGATATTTTCTCTTGAAATGAAAAAGTATATACATACTCAAAGCTCCCTCATTTTCTATGTTTTGCTTTGCTTCTCATATATGTTTTGGATGATGCGTTGATGATCATATTTTTTTTTTAAACTCACAGTTCAACAAAAATGAAGCAGATTAAGTTTGTTACTCCATTTCAATTTGAGAATAAAATCTCACAAACAGCTTTTTAACTCCATAATTTGCAAAAAGTTGAGCTACTTCACTTTTCTTGTTGCAACAAAGCACATCATCATTATCCATGCAAAAAGTGTTGCATATACGTTATAACCATAAAAAAAGCAATGACACATTTTCTTCATATCAAAGACAAGTTTCCACATAACAATTAAACGAGAAAGGAAAGCAAGAAACTTTCCTAACTTTTGCTCATCTTGGAGACAATCCATATAAAGCCTACCATTCAGTTTCTTCCTCCTCTTTGAGCCATCATCAACACTCAATTTCCGCATCCCAAAGTTACCGTACCCTCTGAGTCCCTAAGGCATGAATCCCACCTACAAATTAGTCTGATTTACTCCGAAACCATTGAGAAATGTCAGAGTCTTGGTAGTTATAACAGAGGATTTGGAGATCATGTGGAGATTGCATGATGAGTAAAGAGAAAAAGTTTGATCCTCAAAGAGGAAAGTCTTTTAAAAGAGTAGGAAACGGTTCAAACTTCAAATCATCAAAAAAGGGCATTAAAAGTGGAGTCATGAGGACTTCATTAATGTACATGATAATTATGATGACTTCATTAATACATGATCAAATTTAGAGAGCTCAAACTCTAAAAACAAGTTTATGTTTTTTGAAAGATTCAATCAATTTTTGAAGGTCCCCACCACTTTTTATTACTTCATCACATCCTCTAAGTTCTCGTGACT